TAATATTCAAACTGTAGATGGGGATTGGAAAATGTTATTCTCTAGTTGGTCTAATAAAACCTTAATAGGGGGAGGTTTTAATGGACATCGCACCAATTAGTCATACAAAGTTGATTCCAGAGTTGATTTGTATTCACAAATCCACGATGCAGCTGAGGAATGGCATTACCTCTATGTTTCTCTTAACACTGGAGACCATACCAGACTCAAGTTAGTTTTAAATCAGGTTCCAAAAAGTTCACCAGACATCACTTTTGTTTCATCAGACATAGCTTTACAGTTCAATTTGACTGTTCTAAATGAAAATCTGGGCAGTGACCACTTAACTGAAATAACATGTCACCTACGTAACCTCACAAAACGAATACGTAATTTTCAAAAAACAGATTGGAAAATGTATTCGGATATTATATTAAGTAAAATGAATACTTTTAGATTAACAAGCAACTACCAACAAATTTATAATGACCTTGTAGAATTAAAAAATTACGCAGCTCAATCAGTGATTTCAGATATAAAAATTCCTAAACACCCCACTAGTAAGTTTATTCCTAGATCATATTGGTACCCTGCATTATCTAAAGCGGTCGCATTGGCACAGGTTAGGAAGAACCCAACGCCATTAAATTTCATGGTTCTTAAACAAAAGGTTGCTACGGCACAGAGGCTAATCCGTATAGCAAGTGCAGAATGCTATCGACAGTTCTGTGACAATATTGGAGAGACGACATCTAGCAGTGAATTATGGAGCAAAATGAGATGCTTAAAGGGTAGTAATAAGATTTGTCTAGATGAAGAGAAGGCTACCACGTTCTTAAGGCAATTGACTCCAGATTACGTAAACCCACAGTTAAGTAAAAAAAGGTAAGCACAAATCACGACGCATGAACTGTTAAACGTGTTGAAGACGAAGGATGGAGACGATATATCCTATTCGATGATTTATAACTTTCCTAACAAAAACCTTATAATCGAGTTATTTAATAAATGTTTGATTGACGGTGGAGTCCCAAGTTAGTGGAGAAATATTAAAGTAGTACCTATACCAAAACTGCCTACGTAGACTGCCTCGTTGGCCAAGGTTCGATTCCAGGGTCGGGCAAAGTAATACTGGGTTTTTAAATACTCTCAGTAGTAGCACGGAGTCTGGAAATGTGCCCGGTATATGGCAATAGGCTCACCCCCTATTACATGGGACTCATAACATAAATAGTGGAAAGTGGGTGTTACATTATACAGTGGTATAATGTGCACATCTGCCTACCAATTCGGGGATAAAAGGCGAGATGTTATGTTATGTTCCTATACCAAAACCTGCACGCAATCTGTGTAACGTAACCTCATTAAGACCTATCTCGCATATCTTGCATCTGTAAATCATTTCACAACATTTTAACAAGACGGCTCTAATGGTTTAATGAAAGTAAAAATCTTTTTCTGAAAACACTATAGGATTTAAAAGATCTAAATCGTGTCTAGTTAATTTAGTTCGCCTAGTTTCACAGATTCAAATAGGTTATACAAATAATCAAATGACATTGGGATGTTTTGTAGATATAAATAATGCATATAATAATGTCAGAAGTGGGGAGTAATGTTTCGATTTCAACATGGACAGGCATGGGATTAGCGCAAGGAGACCTTATGTCTCCAATTCTATTTAATATATGCCACATCTAGTAAAAATAGTTCATGTATCAAGTGATTGACTAATTTATTGGTTTACCCACATCTACTTCATATTTTTGTTATAGTTTACTGGTCTGCCCGTGTTACTTGATTCTGTTCTTTGTGTACATTTATCACTTTACTCACATTTTTAAATAGTGAAAATTTGTATTTGTTCTTTTGTATTGTTTTTGTTTATATGTACGTACTACTGTGCGCTCTAAATTGATTACTTTGTATGAAATATTGTTTCTCAGTAAGTGAATTATGTATGTGATTCTTAATGAGTAATAAAGATATTCTAAACCTAAACCTAAGTGACATTTGCAGAAGGACTATGAGTGTAGTTATATGTATCACAATATGCTGATGATTTCATCCTCTATATTTCTGGACAGAATGTTGGGCTTATGACGGCTACCCTTCAGGAAGCATTGGATATGTTATTAAATTTGTTAGAGGTTTTGGGTCTGGAACTATCTCCCTCAAAAAGCAAGATTTGTTTACTCTCTAAGAAAAAGTCATTACAATCAGTAAAAGTCAATATTAGCAATACAAACTTGGAAAACGTTTCGACCGTTAAATATTTAGGTTTATGGCTAGATTCGTTTTTAAAATGGCGTAAATACATAAATGAAATTTATGAAAAGAGCACGGAATTCCTAAATGTTTGTAAGATTCTAGCAGGTTCGTCTTGGGGAGTCCATCCATTATATTCTAAGACAACTGTTTGCTTTAATTCGTAGTTGATTAGATTATGCCAGTTTTCTTTTCGATAATAGTGCCAAGACTAATATTTCAAGACTAGATTAAGTTTAAAATCAAGCCATGATAGTAGTTGGCGGTTCTGTAAAAAGCTCCCCAATTCACGCGGTGGAATTGGAGTTATGTTCGCCACCATTGTTTTTTCGATGATAATATTTAGTTACTAAATTTTGTTTCAAAGCTAAGGCCGTTGCTAATGGCGAAACCATTACGATAATATTAAAATTAACCTTGCTATGTGAGCAGAACTTGTATTGGCGGAATAAGAAAAAACCGTTGTTAACTATAGTGAACAGTCAGTTATCTAATCAATCTTTACATAGTTCCATAGTTCTAGAGATGTTCTCACAGTCAACATGAATGGCGAATATAGATATAAAATCACACATAAATCTACACATTTGTAATATGGCCGGCCCTAAAAGACATAATTACTCATTAAAACTATAACACAGCATTACCATGAGTTCCATCAGATTTTCTGCGATGGATCCAAGGACAACAATGCAACGGGAGCTGCTTTTTTTGATCCACAGTGTAACACGGGATCTATATTTACATTAAACTGTAAAATATCTATTATGACTGCAGAATTGTATGCGATCTTAGAGTGTCTGTTTTATTTAATGTCTTGCAATAATATTAATTTTCTTATACTTTGTGATTTCAAAAGCGCTTAGCAGCATATAGCTTGGTGCACCTCGGGTATACGAGGCTTGCCTGTAGGTTATTCCATATTAGAGACCTATTGGGAAATATTGGCAAATTCTTTAAATTCCAATGGATCCCTTCACATGTAGGTTTGATAGGAAACGAAATAGTAGTTAAGTTAGCAAAAGTAGGAGTATATGAAGGAATGTCTGTCAGCCAATTACTCTTCTTCACAGATGTACTAAGAGATATCAGACATTCATGTTATAAAGTGTGGAAAGAATATTTTGACACACAATCTGAAGAGAAGGGTATGGGTATGTATTGTATGGTACAAAACTATACCTACAATCCGAGCCACCTAAGATTCCTTGGTTTACTGAAGTTATTATGAACAGACAATTGTTGGTTACATGCTTACGTTTGCGAACCGGGCACATTCCAATGAATGCGTTTGGACATCTAATTAAAGTTATTAATTCTCCTAACTGTCTGACTTGCAATGTAAGGGAAGATGTCTACCACGCTTTGGTGGCGTGTGCTCGGATTGGCGTGGACCGGAGAGAGAGGTCTCTGCACACAGCGGGCGCGGCGCAGCGGGACGGGACGGCATCGTGACACTGAGCAGTTGTAATGTACTACTAGATATTAAGGACGACGCCACACAGAGCCGTCGGTCACCGTCGCGTCGAGCGGGACGGCTGGATGTAATACATGTACAAATGCATGTGAGAGCATGTTTTTGTAACCGTAAGTACCCACGACAAAGGATAAAATCCTAGCAATGATATTTGAAAAAAAAAGTAGAGTGACAGTTATCCATTGTTCAATGTGCAATAAAGTGATAATGGAAAATGCTAATTAATCCATGGTATGAATGCGACGCAATTTCCCGCGGTTCTATACGTTGATTGCGATTTATTGCGGCAACGCGGCAAGGCGTTCGCCTTCCACGATTCGAACAAGCATTCCTTTCGACTAGCCAATCAGAAGCCTTGGAATTTTAACGATACAAAAATGGCGGATCTTGTTAGAATTACATGCCGAACCAATATAACTTATTGGGTAAACTCAAGAGTAAGGTTTATGTATCAAATTGATTGCTTCCCAATCTGATTACACCTAAATAAAATACCATCAAATATGTATGTTCGTAAAATGATCACATGAATAGACAGACGGAGAGACAATACATAGCAATTCTATAGGGTACCCTAAACCGATTGTCAGGTAATTCTTAAAAACATTGTTCTTGAAACATAGTCCAATAGATAACATTATAAAATCCAGGTATCGGGTACCTTCGTTCAAACTTATTGTTATATTCTGTTACCTACGCTTTGCCTATTGTCAATACTAGTTGGAACATACGAATTTTTTTCTTTCTTTCTTTATGAATTCGGTTTTAAGGATACACAAACAAGAATTTGACAATTATGCTCTCAAAAGACCTTTTCAATTAAATACGGTCAATGAGTACGCTTTCGGACGGATGGGTCCTAATTAAACAATTAGTTCTTTCTTTTCCTGTTAATCCTTTTGTCTAAAATAAAAATACCACGTTTTACAGGTAAATTTTCAAGTGAAGGGAAGAGATATTATCTAGAAAATTCTAAACCAGCTGTTGCCATCGGCTTTGCCCGCGTTACCATGATAAAAATTCCAATAGATAATTCCAGACTGTATAATCTATATCTGTACAAAATCACATCCAAACCCATCCATTAGTTTTTCGTGTAAGGGTACCAAACATACATATAGGTACATCCATCTTCACAAATTTTCGCATTTAGGTATATTTTTTATAATTACATATATTTATGTATACTATTGTTGTGAAATATGTTTATGTATCTCACATAATGTACCGTTAAAGTTTAGCATGTTCCTTTACAATTAGACAATTAGGTACTTACGTGAAAGCGCAACCACAAGTGCCGTATTCTCCCTCCCAGCCCAGTGCAGGTTTACATATCTTCCGACCTCCACCTTCTCCGTAGGGCACAAAATAGATCGCATGTGGACTATATCACGCTTTTTAGTTGGCCATTGCACGAGGACCCACTTCATGATATTTCTCGAAGAATCTCCAGATGTTGACCTAATCATCTTCGAATTCCCACACCGCATTGTTATGTATCCGAAGTCCAGTCCAGTCACTCCGAAGTGTGGCACACTACTGAACGGCAAGCCATACGTAACTCAGTTAAAAGTTCCATTGTACCCTTACTGCGTAGTTATTGCTACCCCCGCCCGCCGGACACAACAATAGATTTCGCCACCGCACACAGTTCGGGTACCCACCAAAAAGCATCCTTTTTTGCAACACACCAACTTCCTTGTCACTTACTCTGTGGCGACTTATATAATTTTGTGTTCCAACCCGCATTTGTTTAAAATAATTTGTTCGAAATACTTATTGGGCTGCTTTACTATTATGTTTGTAATTTGATTGTAGTAGGTACCTATGTATGTACCTCTAGTATATATTAATTATAATCTATCTGTTTCTCTGTCCATCAACTTGGTGGAACTTAATTACAGTACCTACACTTTATCATTAATTGGTACCTATTTAGTTATATAGATACTAGTATAACGACGAGACTTCGTTCGTGTGGTTCTTATGTATCGTACGTATATATAACCTAAGTACCAACTTAGGTACCTATAAAACCTATGTTCTTCAACTATCTTATTTCTAAATTCAACTATATTTGCGCACACGACTGTGAATCACTGAATTGGTACTTACCAATTGACACATAAGGAGTAGGTAAAAACATTTCAATCGTATTTCATTTTTCAAAAATAATAACATTTTAACTTTGGGGTACTCGAGCACCCTCTGTAGGAAAATAGGATGGTAAAATAGGTGTAGGGCTTAAGGGTTAACGTTACTACGGCAAAATTAAATGAATACAAAAATAGTGATTCATTCATTCATTAAAGAAGTAACTTCCTAGTGTGCCAATTGCCACCAAGTGCTTCGTCAGGTAATTTAGAGGAAGTTTTATTACGACATAACAGTGGTGATTTTTTACAATCGAGAGCACACACGAAAAGACTTCTCGAACAGTCAAGTGTTAAGTGGGTACCAAGAAAAATAATGCATTCTTCTACTGCGGGCCCCAGAGTTAAGAGAAAAGGATGGTGTGCCACGCTGGTTTCATGCATATATAAAACTATGACATTCTGAAATAAAACAACTAGGTACATTCAATAAAAGTCATTATTCAAATTAATTTAAAGTACGTTATATACACATATAATTGTATTGTGTAATTATTACATTCTATATTGACACTGAGCCTCTTTCGTAACACTAATATCAGGAGGTACCTACTCAGTGTAAAAATACTAAGTAAGTATTATGTGCTTACCTATCCAGATGAAATATTAGTAATTTGAAACTAACACTGCCTCGTTGGCCGAGTGGTCGCAAGTGCGACTGCTGGACAAGGGGTGTCGGGTTCGATTCCCGGGTCGGGCAAAGTATATTACTGGATTTTAATAAAAATTCTCAGTAGTAGCACGGAGTCTGGAATAGTATATGGCAATAGGCTCACCCCCTATTACGTGTTATGAGTTCCATAACATAATAGTGAAAAGTGGGTGTTATATTGTACAGTGGTATAATGTGCACTTCTACCTACCCCTTCGGAGATAAAAGGCGTGATGTTATGTTGAAACTAACATTCGGACTCGGATCGGGTCAAACGGACTCACATTAAAAGGTTTTCCTTGGGTTAAAAATCTTAAATGTCATCACAGTATATTTGCAAAATAATTAGAGTTTTCGTTGTATTGTCGGTGAAAGAACAGTTTTTAATTGCTAAAAATAATTGCTTATAATAGCGTATAGGTACGTTTGTAAACTAGAAACAAGTAAGTGATATTTATTTTAAAATGAAACTTAAATACCGTACTGTAGTTGGTTCTAAATGCAGTGGTCAGTTGACGTGAATTGAAAATGGTAGGTCAGGTTCAGATGGTAGCTCGCCGCCCGACCAGAACCAGACCCGTGCGGCGGGTCGCTTTCCGCGCGCGCCTCAAAGAGCCATCAGACCACCATAGATGGGGCCCAGTAGGGCTGATGCCCGATACGGAGCCGCGGAAGGTCTAACGGGTTGCCGGGGCTCCAGCACGAAGAGCAGGAGTAGGAACGGGGTGGTTTTTCGTCAGTAAGAGTCTGACACTCCCTCTCGCCAACCCAAGGCGGGAAAAGTCATTGGATGATTTTCCCCCTTAAATGAAAAGCCTCGCGCGCATCCATCGTGCTGCGCCGCCGCCGTGATCTCGAAACAGATAGTGATGAGGACTTGTGGGCGGACTTTACGTGGTGCGGACGTAGTGTTCACGTACGTCAATGTGTTGTTTATATTAAGCCTAGTCCTAGTAATAATTGGGCTCGCTGCCTTTGCAGCGGGAAATCCCCTCTTTGAGGAGTGGCTTGAGAGACGCTACGGCGTCCTCACCTATCGCCTGATGCAGGTCCTCACCGCACATGAAAGTTTCGGGAGGTACCTGTGTCTGATGGGGCGGGAGAAAATGTCCGGATGTCATCACTGCGAGGACCGCCCTGAGGACATGGTGGAATACACAGTGGAGGAATGCCCTGCGTGGGCTGAGCACCGCCGTGCCCTCAGGGAAGTGATCGGCGATGGCGACCTCTCGCGTTCGGGCCTAGTGCAAGCCATGATGCAGAGTGACGGGGACTGGGATACCGTCTCCTCCTTTTGCGAAGCAGTTATGCTAGCTAAGGTAGCTAAGTAGGAGGCGGGACGCGTGAGACAGCAAAGCGCTGCCTCCTCGCAACCCAGCCATCGCGAAGGACACACCGGGCGTCGGGGATCGCGGGGCGATCTCCGGCCACCATAAGCGCGGGCCTGCGGACGGCGAGCATGGGTGGCTCCCCGACCAGAAACAGACCCGAGCGTACGACGTGTCGCGTTCCGCGCGCGCCTCAAAGAGCCATCAGACCACCACAGATGGGGCCCAACTGGGCCGATGCCGATTCGGAGTCGCGGAGAACCTAACGGGTTACCGGGGCTCCGGCTCGACGTGCAGGAGAAGGAACGGGGTGGTTTTTAGTCAGTAAGAGTCGGACCCGGGTACGTCCTAAAACTGCGACCAGACACCGAGGAATGGGGAGCAGCATTCTACAAAACTATCGGTGACCTAACTGCGCTCGCCAACCCGCCTGCCAAGCGTGGCGAGTATTGGCAAATCCCCCCAATGGACTGCTCAGATAAAACTAGGCCCCCAGTCTCCGGCAGTCCCGCCGTTCCTGGCTACCGTGGTAGCGGTCAGGCTAACGGCGGGACACGGGGTGCTAAGAATCCCCGGAGGTGGAGAAAAGGCTACCACCCCCGACGACGACTGGCCCTGGTAACACACAATGTTCGCACTTTGAGGACAGACGAGAAGATTGTTGAGCTGGAAGAGGAATTGGGTAGGTTGCGCTGGAGTATTGTGGGGTTGTCAGAAGTCCGGCAAGAGGGCGAGGACACGATAACCCTAGGGTCTGGCAACCTATTCTACTACCGGGAGGGCGACCAACTGTCCCAAGGTGGTGTCGGGTTTCTCGTCCACAGGTCCCTCGTCAACAACATTGTTACCATCGGAAGTGTGTCGAGCAGAGTATCCAACAGATACTCGTTGAAGGTCATCCAGGTGCACCGACTTCGACACACCCAGATGAGGAAGTGGAGATTATGTATGAGGACATTAGTAGGGCCATACATACCAATAAAACCTACTTCAGTGTTGTTATGGGGGACTTCAACGCGAAACTGGGAACTCGAGGTGATAACGAGCTGAGAGTGGGGCAATATGGATGTGGGCAACGGAACCATAGAGGACAGAGGCTGGCCGAATTCCTGGAGAAGGAGGACCTCTTTGCGATGAACTCCTTTTTCCAGAAGCCGCCTCACAGGAAATGGACCTGGATGAGCCCGGACGGTTCCACGAAAAATGAGATCGACTTCATCATGACCACAAAGCGACAGATATTCAATGATGTCTCTGTAATCCATAAGGTAAAAACCGGTAGCGATCACCGACTGGTCAGAGGCACATTGAATATCAATGTTAAGTTGGAAAGATCCCGTCTGATGAAGTCCACGCTCCGACCTTCAAATGCCGGTCGAATCAGTTGCCCCGAGAGCTTTCAGATCGAGCTGTCAAATCGTTTTGAGTGCCTGGAGAATAGCGAGTCAGTGGACGAGATTAACAACAGGTTCGTAGAAACTGTCCATGCGGTTGGGTCGAAGTTTTTAGACCCCGCCGAAAAGACAGACCGCAGAAGCTTACCGAGTGTACCCTCAGACTCATGGCAGAACGACGTGCTATGGTGCTCCAGACCTCTGCCGATGCTAAAGCACATTGGCAGCTCAATAGACAGATATGGAAGTCCCTGCGACACGATATCCGCAACTTTAATGTCAATATGGTTAAAGAAGCGATAGAGCGGAACCAAGGCTCCAAAGTGTTCGCTAGGGACGTGTCTATTGGGCAAAGCCAGCTGACGAAGCTGAAGGCGGAGGATGGTAGTGTGGCGTCGATGAAAGCCGAAGTTTTGGGGGAGATCGAGACGTTTTATGGTCAGCTATACGCATCGGTCACTAAACCTGTTAGCTCAGTTGCAGATCCAAGAGCTAGACTTACCCGACATTATACCGAGGATATCCCGGACTATACGATATTAGAATGGCCCTCAAGCAGCTTAAGAACAACAAGGCGCCGGGTGAAGACGGAATCACATCAGAGCTTCTGAAAGTGGGCGGAACGCCGGTACTGAGAGTCCTTCAGAAGCTCTTCAACTCTGTCATATTCGAAGGAGTAACGCCGGCGGCATGGGGCAGAGGTGTGGTGGTGCTGTTCTTCAAGAAAGGAGACAATACTCTACTGAAAAATTACAGACCCATCTCACTTCTGAGCCATGTCTACAAGCTGTTTTCGAGGGTCATTACGAATCGTCTCACACGTAGGTTCGATGACTTCCAGCCTCCCGAACAAGCCGGTTTCCGGAAAGGCTATAGCACCATAGACCACATCCATACACTGCGGCAGGTTATACAGAAGACCGAGGAGTATAACTTGCCGCTATGCTTAGCGTTTGTGGACTA